GTGGCTGTACCATTTCATCAAACATGTCAAAACTGGAAGGAAATTGCTTTAAATGCCCTATAAAGAAATGTAAATGTTCTCAAGTTGTTAGCATTGTAGGATCACTGGTAAAAATTTAAGTTGATTCTCCAGGCTTTTTTAAAACTACAGTTGTAAAGAGTTTGTTTTAATGTGAGTAATAATAAATGCAGATGAATTGCTTTTATAAATAGTTTTGCTAAAATGACCTGTTGTTCAATAATGTTTCCAGTTGCCCAGTGCTCTGCAGCCCTGTTCTTGGTACACAGAGAACCTGAGAAGGCACTTGATAATAGTCCAAGATATGAAATTTCTCTTAGATGATCTGCAGCCCATCAGTAATGACTTGGAAGCTCTAAAAGTACAACTTGAGCAATTAGAGGTAAATTATTGATTTTCATTAAAAGTAGGATTAGTATAGAAATGTTTGTTTATTTAACCAATGTACCTGGCTTACAAGATACAAACTTATATGACTGAGATAGGATTTCAGTTCAGGTCTTCACCATTTGAATTATGTGTTTATGCACTATATCATTTGCATGTAAAGAAAGGTTAATGTGTAAAGTTACAATTTTTAGGAGGAGGAGTGGTAATATTACACAGGAGTCAATTTCATTATTCCTTTTTTCTGATAGCAATACAAATTGATTTTTTACCTGATAGAATATAATTCATTCTGATTAATAGAATGAAGAGTAGAATTCATCTATTTTTATTCTCATTTCATATTACTACGATATATTGTACTTTATTTTTTATACATATAGGCATTTGAATCAGGACTTGCAGGGTTTGCTGTCACCTTGCGAAAAGATATGAAGTTGGCAGAAGACTTTCTGAAATTACAATCCAGAGATGATTCTGCACAGCAGGAACTGGAAGATCTAAAAGAAAGCTATAAATGCTTAGAGAGGAAATTCTCTGTGGTCTGTGAAATGTCTTCAAACCGAGCAAAGCAAATAGTCTTTGCTGTAGACTCTGAAATGGTAAATTCATCTTCCATACTTTCCTTGCTTGCTTGCTTGCTTAATTACTTTTTAAAAATTCACACGAATCCCAAGCTCTGATCAGGAACATTATCTTAAAATAATACCCAGTTTAAAATATAATAGAGTAAAATCATGTGAAATATTTGATGACAAATTTATGGTTTTATTGATATTACCTTGCTTTTAAATTCAGGTAAAGGTAGTCCTCAACTTATGGCCACAATTGAGCCCAAAATTTCCATTGCTAAGCAAGACAGTTGTTAAGTGAATTTTGCATGATTTTACATCATTTCTTGTCCAGTTCTAAAGTGAATCACTGCAGTTGGTAAGTTGTTAAATGAATCTGGCTTCCCCATTGACTTTGCTTGTCAGAAGGTCATAAAAGTCATCACTGACCCTAGAACACTACAATTGTCATAAATATGAGTCAGTTGCCAAATGTCTGAATTTTTATCACATGACCATGAGGTTGCTGCAATGGTCATAAGTATGAAAAATAGTCATAGTCACTTTTTTTAGTGCCTTTGTAACTCTGAATGGTCAGTAAATGAACTGTTGTTAAGTCGAGGACTACATATACTTTATCTCTTTCATCTCTTTTTTATTTCTTCTGTTCCTCTCCCAGCTATATCCTTTCCATTACTCCACATAAAATAAAATAAAAAAGATTTGCTTAAAGCTCCATTGTGTCTAATAGGGGAAGACTGTTATGGATTAGAAGGGAAGCCTCATAGTGTCTGGACTGATAACATAAAATGACTTTTGCAGATCTTCAAAACTCAGGCACAATATAAGAGCAATTTTGTTTTGCTTTGGCTTGCTATAATCTAAGAATGCTCTGGTTTCTTACTTAAGTCTGAAAAAGCTGTTCGCAAAATATATCTTTTAAACACTTTTTTTAAAGGCCAAACTTGCTGTGTTGCATCAGGAACTTTTAGTCAGTCTTCAAGAGTTCACAGATTGGATCGTTGAAAAAAGTGAAACGATGAATAATTTGAAGACGGTGAATGTTGGTGATGTGGAAGATGTGAAGCAAAAGCTTCAGTTAGCCAAGGCAAGTATTAGTTATTATTTATTAAATTTATTTCCTGCCTATTTCGCCACCAGGCAGGTCTAAATAGAAATTGGTAGTTAAAGATAATTACATGTATTTCTAGACCAGGGGTCTCTAACCTTGGCAACTTTAAGACCTGTGGACTTCAACTCCCAGAATTCGTCAGCCAGCTTTGCTGGCTGAGGAATTCTGGGAGTTGAAGTCCACAAGTCTTAAAGTTGTCAAGGTTGGAGACCCCTGTTCCAGACAGTTATTTTTTGGGGAGAATGGCGAGATAGAATAATAAAAGCAACATTGGACCATTGTGATACAAGCCCCATAGTTTTTGTACCTGTGTTGTGACATCACATACATATGAAAAGGAAGGAGTGCTGCCAGACATGGGATATTGCAAATGACAACTTGGAATCACTCTCACTTATCATTGATTCAGGTTACCAATGATTCCTGAATTAGTTATTTTGTATATATTGTATAGGTGGCAGTAATGATTGCACTAAATTATTATAGTAGCTGTAAAGCTGTCCAGTAAAAAATAATTTATACAATTCATTGTAGGACCAAATGTGTATCTCTACAAATATTAAGGATACCATTTAATAAATTAGTTATTATATTTTCCATATGTTACTATTTAGAATAAAGTAGCTATAGCCTTAGCATAGTTAAAGCTTCACGATTCTAAAATCCGTAACTTGAATAATAAAATCAAAGATAAATATAATAGATTTGAAGTATCAATTTTCAATTGGAGTTTTATCAGTATGGAGTTTTTAACTCTATAATAAGTGTCACAGATATTATGAGAAATATGACTCTGATGTTACAACTTTACTATTTTTATGGCAATGAATACTTCTGATGATAAATACTACAATTCTTTTTGTGGAGCTTAATACTGTAGATCAGGGATGTGAAACTTGCGGAGTCACATTGTCATCACATGATGTATCGTAACTTTCCCCCCCTTTGCTAAACTGGGGGTGGGCGTGGCCAGCACATGAAACATCTGGCTCGTGGGCCACGAATTTGACAACCCTGCTGTAGATCAATGTTTTTCAAACTTGGAAATTTAAAGATATTTGGATTTAAACTCCCAAAATTCCCCAGTCACATCTTAAAGTTGCTAACTTTGACAAAAAGTGCCATGAAGTATGATGAGTTAATGTATTTGAGCCATGTTCAGCATATGCAATCAAATGCTAAATCTTTTAAATTTTTGAATAATTTCAATATACAAAGTATTGATTAATAGATTCTGGATTATGAAAATGCAGTTTGATCAGTCTAAATATGATGAACTTCTGTACCAATTGTTTGTCTTATATAATTCTGATTCCAGAATTTTTAATCAATCTTCTCCAAGCAGATACCTTCCAGGTAAATTGGACCACAACGTCATCATCATAAAACATAGCCTTTTAAAGATGATAGGAGTTGTAATAGATTACATCTAGATAGCAATTGGTTTGGATAAATAGTTCTTGACAATTTCATGAACAAAATAAAATCTGAAACAAGTTCATATACATATTTAATGATACTGGTTTTCTAATTCCTGATATTGTTGTTTAGAATATTATCTGGCTTTCTTTGCTTAATTTCCAGGACCAAGAAAAAGAGCTTGGGTGTAGAAAAATGCAACTGGAATCCACAGCATTTGATATTCAGTTCTTCATTTCTGAACATGCCCAAGATCTTTCCCCAAACCAAAGCAAGCAACTCTTGAGGCTTTTAAATTCTACACAACGACACTTCCAGGAAATGCAAGAAAAAATAAGATCTCAAGTGGATCATTTTGAATCTCTCTTACAAACAGCTCAAATTCTTATTGATCAGCAGGTTTGCTTCTTTCTGTAGCCTTGTGCTTCCTTTTATTAGATAGATAAAGCAACAAAGTGCCAAAATTACAGTCCACCTAAACTTTGAAGCTGTTGAATACTGGGTTTATCTTTCAGAATTCTAGAGAGGCGTTATCAGCAGTTTAACGATCATTTAAATTTACTCTTCATAATAATAATGTTTGCAATGTAGGAATGTTTTGGCTTCAAATGAAACTTAAACAAGCCACAGTAATACACAAACAGTGGATCTAAATTGGAATTAAAGTTTGAGTATGTAGAAAAAAAGGGGGAATTTGGTGATTAAATTCCTGTCAAGTTCAACCAAAACCATCAATGCCTTTGTATGTGGGAAAACCATTGTACAGTTTAATAATTTTCACTCTTTCATGGGTGAAATGATACATTGTTGGGATCTTATTTTGTATCCAAAGCTGCCCCTCTTGAGATGTCCATCAACTAGTATATGAAAAATAGACACTTGGTCAGAAGACTTCTTAAAAATGGAGCTAATAGAAAAGGCAGTAACTCCAACTAGATTCAAGAGATAGTGTTTAAGGGCCAGGAGTGGAAGTCTTCATATTAAAAAAGGCTAGGACTTTATTAAAATAACAAAGGTGAAAAAAATACATAGAATGGGAGGGTAGGATAAGTGAGCCAATGAATCTTATTGCACATGTGCTTCTGTAGTGTTTAAAATACATACATAATCTCAATGCTGATAACATTTACATGTACCAACTATCTAACAGTTTTCAACTAACATTGGTTTTGACATTCCTCTTTTAGAATTAATGCTTGTGTGTTACAGATTTTGAACAAGACAGAAATTTGGATTTTCACACGCCTAATGCATGGCCAGACTTCTGCTGGGCGATTCCATCTCAAACTGGTCTCTTTACTTACAGCATTTGTGAGGTTTATCCATGCCTTTTATATTCCATTTCTTTAAACTGCGTCCAACTGCTATCATGTTTACAGCATACTTTCGGAAACAATTTCTAATGAAAGCTTTTGCAATGTGGTTGCTTGAAAATTAACTTACGCAACAACTTTCGTGTGCCTTTATACAGCTTTGATCTTATTCCGAAACAGGATTTGATGGATCAGCATCAGGAATTCCAAGAAAAATTACAGAATATATGCGATCAACTCACACAGACTGAAAATCAGATCATCGGCCACAAAGAGGCCCTTGTGATTGAAGATACCAAGACTGAATTACAGCAATACCAAGTCAGGCAACAGGTAAATTATTAAGTATCAACAAACCAGTGGTGCGATTCAAATTTTTTACTAGCGGTTCTGTGGGCATGGCTTAGTGGGCATGGTGTGGTTTGGTGGGCATGGCTTGGTGGGCGTGGCAGGGGAAGGTTACTGCAAAATCCCATTCCCTCCTCACCCCACTAATCTGCTTTCCAGCTCCGGTTCTCCTGTGCAGGGCAACAAAAGAAGACCCAGCCGATCAGCTGGGACTCGGGAGGCAGAGAATAGATGGGGGCAGGGCCAGTCAGAGGTGGTATTTACCGGTTCTCCAAACTACTCAAAATTTCCACTACCGTTTCTTCAGAACCTGCTGAATACCACCTCTGCAACAAACAAACTAAACAGTCTGGATTTCACCAAGGACCAATTTGCACTGAGTGGAATCACTTCTCATGTTTAATCATGCCATGGCCAAGGTGGTTTTAACTTAATGGGCAAAATAAAACATTGTGAATGCAAACCATGGATTATTGCTAAGCCTGTGACATAAGCCCCAAATAGATGCATTATTCAGCAAATTCTCATTTAAACGAACAGCCTGTACTGAGGAAGTCAGGGATTTAGGAATTTGAATAGGTGCCTTTAATCTTCCAGACGGCTTACAGTTTCTATTTTCCCCCAATAAATCTCCCCAAAATGCTTCCAAAATTCCAGAAAAAGGGAAGGAAATTGAATAGAGTTGCCCTGTGGTTAGATGGTTGGTCAATACATTTAATTAATAAAAAATAAATTGTTTCCTGATTTGTGTTCCTGTTGTGATATCCTGATTTGTATTCTTCAAGGAATTGCAGAAAAATATGCAAGCAAACACACAGGCCTTGGCAGAAATTGTGAAAGACACAGAAATGTTCTTGAAAGAGAATGGGGAAAAGCTGCCATTGGAAGATAAGACTGCTCTTGAGAGGAAACTGAATGAAGCGAAAACCAAGTGTTTGCTGCTAAGCCAGAAGGCAGAGGAATCCAGAAAAGAGTTGGATAAAGCTGTGACAACAGCTATTAAACAAGAAACAGAAAAGGTTCTTTGGCAAATATTTACTTTTCCTTTCAAAATGATTTATCTTCATAATTCCCTGTTGTGTGTTGTTGAGGTAATTCCCTGTTAGGAGAATGAGCGCATACAGGGAGACGTATTTGAGAGAAGTGTTTGAATAATACACACACAGTACACAGATACACTGTACAGTAAATGTAGGTTTTTACTTCCAGAAAGGTTTAAGCAAAGTCCAAAATAAGCAATCCATAGTCATTCACAAGTAAATCAGTCAGTTTTCAATCCAGGGATAATCCAAATATCAAAGTCCAGTGTCAAAAAACAGTTCAGTAACAGACTTACATTAAATCCAGTAATATCAGTCAATTAGAAGAAATGGAGGAACGGCAATACTTTCCAACAGAAGGAAACAGAGATACTCACTCAGACACACTCTCTTCTGAGACTAAGACAAAACAACCCAGGTTTCTGGCTCCATCTTATGGCCGTTTGAAAAAAACCACACCTAATTACAGTTTTGCATTTTCTTAAAGATACAGTTTTAAAATGTTTATCCTGGTTTATATATTTCTAACCCAAATAGCTGTTAGGTGATTTATATTCCTAACATGTATACTTGTTGATATGAGTGAGAGATTTCAGAAAAATCATTTGACAAATGAAAGAGTTGATCATCGTTATTCATTCATGTTTGCACATGTTTTCATTTATTCATCAAACCTATCTAGATTTCCATATTCGTTTATAAATATATTATTGAACTACAGTTTAAAAAGAAATCCCAAACCATTCCAGAAGGCTTAGAAGTGGTGTAGTTTCACAATGCATCCTTAGAGCAGTGGCTTCTCTAAACAGAATAGCTTTCCAGTTACTTTCTTGATTTTTCTAAGAACAGAATAGAGCAATTATCCTTCCATGGGTTTTTCCAAGGAGCCAAATGCTTCTAAAAACAAATAATCCTCCCTTAACAACCACTTGTTGAATTTATGATGATGTTGAACATGTGATACTTAGGACTTAGGCAACATCCCTAGTCACGTGCTCGGCAGCCTGTTTGCAATTGCAGCATTGCAATATCCCATAGTCAAACGATTACCATTGTGAGTTCTTCACTGCTAGCATCAGGCAAGCAAAGTCAATGGGGAAACTGGCAGGAGGTTTCAAATGGTAAACACATAGCATTGCACTGAATAAGGGCACAGAATTTGCTTAATAACAGCAACTGAAAGTACCAGAATGGCTGCCACTAAGCACCTTGGTTATGCAGCAGCGTTGAAAATTCCAGTCCCAATTACCATAGTTAAATGAGGACTACTACTGTGTATTGCTGTTACTGCTGGTATCCAAATAATCTGGCCATTGTTGTGTCCAAATAATCTGGGAATATTTTAAGGAATGAAAGAAAGCATAAAATCAGTGAACAAGATTTTTTTAAAATCAAAGAGTGTTTTTGTTTTCACATTCATTTTTAGACTTATTGTTTTGATAGCCAGAAAGTTATTTTATTGTCAATCAGAATTTGAATTACTATAATATATTGGGGACATTTTATGTATGTACCTGTGAATATTTTTGAGCAAGCTATTAATGGTTTGTACTTCAATTGTTCAGGTTGCAGCTCGTCAACAACTTGAAGAGAGCAAAAATGTGATAGAAAATCTTCTGGATTGGCTGTCAAACGTAGATAAGGATGCTGATCATAGAGATACAAAATGCAAGCCAACAATCAAACAGAATGGTACTCATTTTCATAAAGGAGATGGAGAGGATTTGATTGGAGGGGAAGATGAAGTAAATGGCAACTTGCTAGAAACCCAAGAACAGAATGAAACTCTTGTAGATGGACAACGTACACTGTCAGATGATAATCTCAACATGAAATATCAGAAAGCTAAGGTAATGTATACACCTATTAGCAACTGCATTTCTAGGGGGGAAAAGGAAATGTGGAGGGAGCAAAATGAATATACATTCTGGACTCTGCTTAAAACTGAGACCAGAATGTGTAAAACAATATCTAGTGGAATCAAACCAGGGATGGGATTCTCTCGGTTCGGGCGAACCCCTAGCTCCGACAATCAGCTGGCAATGAACCAGTTGGCTCTGATGAGCATGTGGGCCCACCTGCCTGTCTGCCCCTGCGCTGTACTGACCTATATCCTCGGCTGATTCGCGTGGCAGAGTGGATTGCCGCTCCTCAGCTGTGTTACTCCCCTGTAGTAACATAACCGGTAAGTTTTTTCGGAAAGCTGTTCACGCCCATGCAGCAATCACCGAATCGGTTGTTACACCAGCAGCATCCCACCACTGAATCAAACCTTATTGCTGGGACCATTCTAAGCCCCTAAATCTATTGGAAGTGCTGCCTTTTTTCTTGATGCACTGCAAGGCTCAAAGAGTTCTCATTTGAAATTATACCCACGAGGTTCAAGAGTGGAACCAAGAGGTGGTTTTGATTTGTACCTTGGTCGAAGGTATTCAGAGAAAAGAAAGGTCAGAGGAAAGAGAGTCAGAGGAAAGTGGAAAAGAACTCTTTGTGATACTTTCCAACATAATATAAGAACAGGATACATACATAGGAATCTCAATGCCCCTATAAGTCAACAGGAGAATATCCCCGAACCTCACTATTAGGCGTTCTTCCATGTATGTCCAAGAAGCATATATGATGAAATGTGTATGATGAGTCAGTTTAATGTGGTGTTAAAGGTAGCAGGATAGAAAGTTGGAGATTGTGAGTTCTAGTTCTGTCTTAGGCATAAAAGCTGGCTGGATGTCCTTGGGCCAGTCATTCTCTCTCAGCCTAACTCACTTCCCAGAGTTGTTGCTGTGGGGAAAATAGCAGGAAGGAGTATTATATACTATATATTCACTGCAGGTAGTCCTCGACTTACGACCATAATTGAGCCCAAAATTTCTGTTGTTAAGTGAGACATTTGCTAAAGTGAGTTTTGCCCCGTTTTATGACCGTTCTTGCCACAGTTGCTAAGGGAATCATTGCAGTTAAGTTAGTAACCCATGGTTTCCCCATTTTGCTTGTCAGAAGGTTGCAAATGTTGGTCACATGACCATGGGACATAGCAACGGTCATAAATATGAACCAGTTGCCAAGCGTCTGGATTTTGATTGCATAATCATTGGGATGCTGCAAGTGAATTGTGAAAAATGGTCATAAATCACTTTTTTCAGTACCGTTGTAACTTTGAACCATCACTAAATGAACTGTTGTAAGTCAAGGACTCCCTGTATGTCAAGGACTACCTGTACTTATAAAAGTAATAAAGGTAGGATTACAAAAATATTTTACAATAAATATTTTTTTGACATGTTGTTTGCATGTGGCCATTTTGGCAATAGGAGATTAAATGAGATTAGCACATTGGTAGCATATAGTAAAGAATCATTTATTGATTCTAAGTAATTTTCAATATCCTATGAATAGAGGATTACTAAAAGTGGTATCTTGCTGCAGAGCAAAAGCCTAATTCCAGGCACTCTGGGTTTCTCCCCAGGCGCAACATGAAAAAATTATTTCACAGCAACAAGCTGTCATTGTAGCAACCCAATCTGCCCAGGCTCTGCTGGAGAAGCAAGGACACCATCTTTTGCCAGAGGAAAAAGAGAAAATCCACAAGAACTTAAAGCAGCTGAAGGTGCAATACGAGACTGCGTTGGCCGAATCTGAGCAGAAGCTGAAGTTAACCCGCTCGCTACAGGAGGAGCTGGAGAAGTTCGATGCGGATTACTCCGAGTTTGAAAATTGGCTGCAGCTGGCCGAGCAAGAACTCGAGAACCTGGAGATCGGAGCCTCTGACTTCGGCGGTATCATCATCAAACTGCAAAGGCAGAAGAGCTTTTCTGAAGACGTCATTTCTCACAAAGGGGATATGCGGTTTATTACCATTGCTGGACAGAGAGTATTGGAGGCAGCTAAGTCCTGCAACAAAATGGAAGGTGTCAGATATGAGAAAGAAGGCCTGGATACTTCATCAACTTACATGGAGGTACAGAATAAGCTGGATAGAGCAACCAGTCGCTTCAAGACTCTCTACTCTAAGGTAAATTGAATTGCATGCGAGTGGGATTTTTTTATTTTTATTTATTGCATTATATCTCACCTTTCTTCACGGTTTTCCAAGTCTGGCTCTCCTGGTGTGTGTGGTTTTTTTTTTATCCCTACATATCAGATTGGGCTGAGGGAAAGTGACTAGCTGATATACAGCTAGTCCTCAACAAACCATAATTGGTACTGAAACTTTCATTGCTGGGCTATGCCTGATTTTATCACCTTTTACCCATTGTTTTAGCAAGTCACGGTGGTCATTAAGTGGATCATGTCATTGAGCAAATCCAGCTTCTCCCATTAACTTTTCTTGTCAGAAGCTGTCTTGGAAAGTCTCAAATGGCAATCATGTGACCCTGGTAAGCTACAAACATAATAAATACATGCCGATTGCCAAATGCCCAAATTTTGATCATGTGGCCATGAGAATGCAGAAATAGGTTGTCAGTGCTGCAAGGTCCAATTGTAAGCAACTTTTTTCAGGGTTTTGTCATTTTGAATGATAAGGGATCAAATGGACCTAAGTCAAGGACTACCTCTATTGCAGTGAGCATGGTGATTTAGTTGCGACCACTCCTGAATATAGCCAGCAAAGTTCCAGTGACATTTCTGAAAATGAGGCTGAAAATTGGTGGGGAATATATACATAAATCAGTATGAATGATCTTTTTTTCCTGATGATTTATGTACCTATTCCGCACCAGTTATACTTTATCCCTTTGCTTTAGGCCTTGATTGTTTTCCACAAGGTTTCTGGGTATAATTCAAGTTTTAACCTATGAACTTCTATATGATTTGGCCTTCACCTACATGAATCAGTGTAGGTGAATCAACTGTTTTAGCCTGAGCTAAAATACTGCTAGGCAGCTTTGAGGCCAAACTGCTGCGTTAAGACAGTGCATTCATTAAACATACACTTCTAAACCTTAAAATTCTTCTAGTGAATAGAAAGTTCAGTGTTAATTACTTTGCTACAATCTAAGTTTCATAGACAATTTTTTAAACATAGTTTGGCATTTATCCACTAGGTGGTGCTAAGTGTATTAATAAAAATCGCTCAGTAGTCAGAAGAGAAAAAAAAATGAAAGAATGAGGAGAAAACTTCTAAAACGTAGATTCTTCCAATGAATACTCTTCCAATGCATACACAGGGAAGTATCACACTTCCCTTAAATTATTACCTTTATCTTCATTAAAAGAAAATGCTATACGCCAATATTTTCAAAACCAATTTCCTACTAAGCTGATAAAACAGTGAATAAGAGGAAATTTCTACTGTACTGTAGAAATTTGTAATATTATAAAATCATTAGCATTTTGTGGAAATATAGACATGAAATTTATTGATGCGCTAGTTATATTATGTAAATGCAGCCAATGGGATTACAATAAGAATAAACACCTAAACAATTTGTCATCAGATTTTTGCATTTCCTGGTGAAACAGCCACAAGTATTTTCTTGATCTGATTTCCTAGTTTGTTCCCATCTATCTTACCACTGTGTGTTTATGTCCATGTGTTTATTTATTGCAATAGAAATGTGAAAAGGCCATTTATCAAAATTAAGTACAATAAAGTTTTATTGTTTTATAAGTTTTATCCATTGATGGAACAGTTTCTGACAAAATCAGAACGGAATGAATGCCTACGGCCATGATGGTGAGGCCTTGAGGTGGCACGCAGAGCCCTCTCTGTGGGCACACGTGCCTCCTGCTGGTCTTCGGGTCTCTGCCATGCATGTGCTGGGGGGCAGGGCACATGCAGGGGGCGGGGGGCGTGTGCGGGGGACGCACGTGCATGCGGGGGACGCACGTGCATGCGGGGGATGCATGTGCAGGGACACGTACGCACATGTGGGAGACATGCACACATTGCACTTTGGGGATGCACGCGTGCTTTGGGCACTCGATGCCGAAAAAGTTAGCTATCACTGGCCTAGTTGCAAGGGGCTGTACATACAAGAAGAAATTCCTACTATGAACTACAAATATAATTAAGAAATGATTTATCTTGTTGAATGCTGTTTTCTATTCTACGTCCTTCTAGTGTAGTATTTTTGGAAATAATCTCAAAGATCTGGTAGATAAATACCAGAATTACAAAGACGCTGCATCTGGGCTTCGTTCCGGACTCCAAGACTGTGAAGAAGCTGTGAATAAGCAACTATCTGAGGCAATTGCTGGGGATCCGAAAAATCTTCAAAGGCAGCTAGAAGAAACCAAGGTAAATCTTGTGCTAGGTTAAAGGCATTAAAGCCAGGGCAGATTACAAAGTAAAATAAGGAAAACACTCCACATTTTAATGCAATTTGTGATTTTCCTGAAACTATTTGTTAGCCTGAATGAGCAGTGTGGTGGCCTAAAGGTGGAGCTCTCGCCTCACAGTCAGGAGGCTGTGAGTTGGATCCTAGATAGTGGCAGATATTTCTCTCTTTGGGCTCAATAAGTAATTGTCTGATGCAAACTCCACGAAGGAGTAGAGAACGGCATCCGGCCAGTAAACTCTCCAGTTGGGTTCTGTCGCCCGACTCCACCCCGATGCAAGGGATTACAAGATCTTTTTTTTTAAAAAAAATGATAGCCTAAATACAAATGCCTTTGAATACTTCAATTTTTTCAAGTGTTTATATTAACGAAAACATGTTAAGAAAGTGATATTAGGGAAAGCATACACAAAATACGTGCTTGAGTCTGTCATTTAAGTAAGCCAAAGCTACTTTTTGCAGCTGATACAACTACTTAGTAATCCCCCGAGACAGTGACCCAAGACAGTGACCTTGGCTGCATGAATAGGATAATCCTTTTACCAAGATTAAGTGTTCAAAATACTCTTCATTCCCCAAGGTCCTAGATTTGTTTCTAGTATTCTCTAAAGCTTTCCTTAAAAAGCAAAGCAACACCTGCCTCAGCCCTCATGGGAAAAGTGATTATTGTTGCAATAATGAAAAATAAATACATCTTAATGCAACAAAGTCAAGACATTACTGAAACTGAAAATGGCAAAATAATAAATCAAGGCACAGCTACGGGAAAGTCCAAAGAAATAAAACAAGAATGCAGCTTCAATAAAGATAAAGGTGACATAAAACATGTGTCATAAAGCAAAATGTTCAGAGAAAGATGAGTGAGAGAGATGTTCTGTTGCAGCCTGTCTCTTTTTTGTTCCAAGTGACATCTCTCCTAGCAGGCTGTAGTTTTGAAATAATAAATATTTTCCCAGTGAAGAAGAGTATGTTAATATGGTATTAAGATGAAGCATGAAGTATGTGCCAGTGGACAACAAAGGCTTATGTTGGTGAAGTGCTTGACATTCTAGTTGTCCTCTTGTCGTTATAGTATTGCACATAATGAACAAAATGGGTCTATTATCGAACTGAAAATTTGCACCACAGATTATTCAGCTCCTCATTCATGGTTTGAGGTGACTGTACCAAAAGCCCGGGTAAGGAAAGAGACAAGTATGTCACAGAGAACAAAATATTCTTCTAACCTCATGGAATTGAATAAGAGTGCAATTAGCAACATGCTACATAGGACTGTGCTTTTCTCGAATCAAAATTAAAATTAATTTCTTGTATTGCTCCAGACCCAGAGTTCATGTTGTATCGAACATGATACCCAATGACTAAACCAGATATTCTTGAATAAGTTATAAATGGATTAAATGGTACAATTTTATAGGTGCTTCAAGGACAAGTATCTAGTCATCAGGTTGCAGTAGAAAAAATGAAAAAAGCAGCCGAAGTGCTCTTTGACACCCGGGGAGAATTATTGCCAGACAAAGATGAAATCCAGCAAACACTGGGTAAGATGAGTCACAGCCTCTTCAGTTTTCTTCTTCCATTGCTCACATTTGGGGATAATCTGCTCTTTGTGACTCCCACCTTCCTTGACTCATCTATTTCTACCTTTGTTCTTTAGTTCTGAGCCAAATTTGTGATCCAGCTCCTCAGATTTGATGCATACAATCTATGGATAGTAAATAATTGTCCAGGTTTTATTCAAATTTAGAGGAAGGGGGGGAGAGCCATTGTTTAATATGAAATCATGGAATTTAATAGTGCTTCAATTTGGCTCAATTGTGCACTAATATTTTTGAATCGCATCTGATTGTAGCAGATCATTTTTTAAAATGCTGATTCATGCTAACTTTCTGACTTTTGTGTGTATGTATAAACCAGTTTGAAGTGCAAATGGAGCGCTGGGGCTGAGATGGACAGAAAGTATACAAGAGTAAATTACATGAAGGTTACAATGACCTTCCACATTTATTTATGACATTATGAAAGAGCATCTGCTCTACATCAAAATGTGTCCTTGGCTATATAACACAAGTCATATCTTTTAGCCAGATGTAAGACATCTGCAAGAAAAAAAATCAGAGAATTTAGCAAAATAAAAGCTGTTTACCAAACAAACAAAGAAAACAAACTTTTCAGATTTCCACTGAAAGAGCAGGTTACATCTAAAGAACTTCTGTACATGCCTAGTGAACATGAAAACTAGCCAGGCACATGTAGAATTTTGGTTCATATTTTAAGCAGAAAAGAAATGGAAAAATGTATTTATAGTGCATTCAAGCATTAGCTGGACATACCTGAATTCAATTAGGGAATTACGAATTTCAGTGACTTAATTCAAAATGTATAGAGAGACTGTTACCAAGAAATGTGTGCTCAATAACTGGTTAAATTAAATTTGGGTCTAGGGCTGACCCTGTTATTTCAATAAATTAAAACCCTAGAATCTAGAGAAGGTGATATTTGAAGTTTCTGCATTTCTTTAAAAATTATAACTGGTCTTGTCTAACAAACAAACTATACGGATTACTGCAACTCTTGAATAAAGACCTAAAGATGTAAGAGAAAACTGGGCATGCTAACTTAAGGCTTAACTTTTTTTTATTTTAAATCCTAGATTATGTGAAATCTATTTAACATAGCTCCTAGTCAACATAGATTGCTATTTTTTTTGCCTTGCAGTACTTAATGCTAATAAATTTCTATAAGTCTATTTTGCCATCTAATCTTTTTATGTCTGTTATTCTATTACCCATGCTTAATTATGCTGCATAAAAGTGGGCAAAAGATAGTCTGTAATGTCATAGAAAAATGAATATTGCATATTGGGAGATGTAATTCATAAAAGCCCATTTCATCTACCAATCTTTATTATGAGGATGTGAGGTAATTTAGAGAGATTATGGAAATGATCCTCATGAAAGTTTCAAAAACATTTGGTGAAATCCTCTTTTTTTTTAATGGTAGCCTTTTCGCCTTAGCACTGCTTCCTTAGGATTGCTACATTTAGGTAGTGTTTTAACAGGGTGGACCCACCAGGGTTATCCGCAAATCTCAGGTGCTTCATTTCTAGATATACATCTGGAATAAAATGAATCATATTTTCTCAAATCCCTGGAAATATATTGTCAAAGTGACTAATGTGAAACTTCACCCATATTTCATGTTATGAATCCATGGATTCAAAATATCCATAATCCATATTATGATTGTCTCCAAGAAACCATTGTTTTTGGTATTTTACCAATTTCCTAGACATAAATGGAAAAAATGAATATAGGAAAACCAGTTATTGTGGATAAATAAATAAGAGAGAAAAGAGTTTTCATTTAAATGAGATGAATCTTTTACAAACTAAAAAAACCATAAATAGTTGAAAAGGAAAAACAGTTTAATCCCTTTTGTTAACTGACAAATGAGTTTAGCCGAATATCTTATGCTTCTGAGGTACTTTTAGAGTCAAATCTGGAACAAATCTGACACTCTCGAAATCCTGATTGTGAAGATAAATGCAAGATAGGATCCTGTACTATGGATCTAAGAAATAGCACAACATTCAGGCTGTGGCTTTCTACGGTAGGGAAGTGGAAACTTACATGATAAGCCATTTCAATTTTAAGCTTGTATTCTGACTATGGTAAACAAAGTTTACATACAGATTTCTTCTTGAAGACTTCTGTAGTTTGATCTTATTACTAAAGGACATTTAGAAGCCACATTCAGATTGGCAAATTTCCTTTTAGAATTAAGTTTTGCTGGATCATTTAATAGAATTTTATAGAAGATGGACTGTAGGATTTAATTCTATAGAAGATAGCCCCTTCTATTATAAGGTTCACCAGCATGAACTATGTTTGCATTTGTCTATGTGTTTATATATGTGTGTGTATGAGTATATGATTTATCTACTGCCCCAATCCAACAGACCTTTTTTTTTTCTTTTCAGACACTATTGTAGATAAATATAACCAGTTATCTAAAGCAGTGAATAATCGTAATGAAAAGCTCCAAATAACGTTGACTCGTTCATTAAGTGTTCAGGATGGATTAGATGAAATGTTAGATTGGATGAATGGTGTTGAGAAGAATCTTGAGATGCACGGTCAAGTGCCTTTAAACTCTGCTGCTATTGAAGATGTCATTAGCAAAAATATGGTAAGTAGAGCTTTAATTGAATCAGTTCTTTCTCTAATAGGAGAAACTTAATTATAAGAGAAGAGAATGATTTGAATAGCATGGTAAGAATCAAAGGAGAATCAAGTGTGCTTCAAAACTGGCCAGTACCAAGCCATAGTACAGTTTGTTTGATTTTGTCTTCCTGTGATTTGTGATTCCAGGAATTTGCAGATGATTAGTCATGGTTTATGATTTAACCTTGTGTGTGAACTAGGATAGTGTGGATTATTAAACAAGCTGTTTTTCCGGGAAACTATAGTTATTATGTGAGGCCACCCAGTTACTTTCTTTAGGGCTCATAGTACATGTATGTTCTGATAATAGGCTGACAAATATCTCAAAGTGAGATGTTTCTATGCAAATCCTTTAGTCTGAATACGCTAACATAATCTCCACATGGGGGCTATCAGTTGATGAACAAAAGCAAAGATGTACTTTATCAACATCCTTAAGTGACAACTCTCTTTTCCACACCTAAATGTGTACTGAACTGCTTAAGTAGATAACTTTAGAAATCAGTTAGTCATTTGTGCTGGCAATCACCTTTTATGCATAATAGATACCACTCGCACACACGTTATCTTGGACATTTTCTGAAACAATTTTATTTCAGGCACTAGAACAAGACATTGTAGGCCGTCAGAGCAGCCTAAATGCCATGAAAGAAAAAATGAAGAAATTCATGGAAACTGCAGATCCCTCAACCGCATCTTCTTTAGAAGCTAAAATGAATGAGCTTTCCCAGAGGTTTTGTAATGCTCACCATAAACATAAGAAAAGACTAGAAGACATGGAGAAGTTGAAGACCAGGGTAGAGTTGTTTGAATGTCTGTCTGACAAGCTTCAGTCATTCTTCGACAAGAAAACTCAAGCTCTCAATGAGGCTGATATTCCTGGAAAGGATGTTGCTGAAATGTTCCTTTGTGTGCAGGTACAGTGTATTTTTCAATCTTGTGAAGTGCTGTTCTGACCTTTACCGAGTAAGCATAATTGTGAAGTAACCATCCGCTCTAAAATGATAATGGAAGCTGTTAAGTTCAAGGACTAAATGTTGAATCTTAGGGTTATCCAGTGAGGTATAAAGCAGTTTCGTTCTTTCTTCATTTTACAGGAAACCAACACAGAATTGATGGAGCAGAAGAAAGATCTTGAAGTTTTGCAACACCTCATTGAAGAACTTTCTCCTCATGCTCTACCAGGAGACAAGTCATTAGTGTTAGAAAAAGTAAATGCCTTGTCAAAGAAATTCAGGGAAATAGAAGAGATGATGCAAGAAAAGTGAGTATAGTCATTGAATTTTAGAATGGAGACGGAAGACAATGATTACGTGACAACAGCAAGGCTGTCAAACGGTTACTGGGTTTAGTTAGTTTAGTTTCTAGTAAGAGTTTGAGCCTATTGGTCTTAAGTGGGCATAATTCTTTATAACTTCACTTCTGTCCCCTGTACTTTGCTTTTTCGTCTTTCCTGGTCGGTGATAGCTTTGGAAAGTTAAGAGGAGGATGGGTTCAAGCAATTGTGAGTGCTTCTTTTGGGAAGAGGATAATACTGTGATGATCCTCTATGGTCATCATTGGATCATGCCTGGATCTCATCCTGCTTTGATTACTGCAATGCACTTGGCGGGTGGGGCTGCCTGTGAATATTATGTAGAAGCTGCAAATGGTCCAGAATGCAGCAGTTCAGTAGTTATTGATGCAACAATGTGGTATGCCTGTGTTATACCTCTGGTGTGACAGTTACACTAGTTGCCAGTTTCCTTCCATGTGCAATTCAAGGTGATGATAAACATTTTTAAGGGCTCAAGATCTGGAAATCAGTAGAACCTTTTGCCAGTCTCTGTGTGAACAGATGGAGTCTCAAGAAGTTTTTTGTCCCAGTTGTTTCTTAACTTTATCAAACTATTTCAATATATATCGGCACTCTGAATACAACTTTTATAATTGGTTTAACTTAGAAAAGTACTACATATTTAATTCTGAGGTCAGGGAGGGCGTAACTTTCCCAATTCATTCTTTCTGTTTCTAATTTTATAGAGAGAAGGATGTGTCCTCTTGCCAACAACAAATTGATGCATTCAGGGGTTATGTTGAGTCTCTGAAGAAATGGATAGACGAAACGATAGAAAGGATTCCCCCTATACAGCCCTCTTTAAATACTGATAGCTTAAAGAAACATTTACAAAGCACCAAGGTATGAAATGTGTTTGTCTTTACAGGCAGTACTTCCAGACAAGGATTTTTATGTCCATTAATTAAACAATGGTCTCTGAACTGGAGAGACTGCAAACACTATCATCGCTCATTTAATGCGGGCCAGAATGGATTAAACCTGTGTAGCATGTGCAAGGATTTTCCTGTGCATTATTAAAGGAGAGATCCACTCATTATGTACAGAAGTTTATTTGTATAATGGAAGCATAGATAAAATATGTGTGATTTCCAACCTGAAATAAACATATGACCTTCCAACTATTCTGAGTTGTGGTCAAAATAAATCCTGCTATGCTTTAAGAGACAAGTTGGACAAGGTGTAGTGTACAGTCTTAGACTTATGATCACAATTGATCCCAACATTTATGTTGCTAAGTGAGAAATTTGTTAAGTACATTTTGTTTTGGCCTTTGTTGCCACATTTGTTGAGTGAATCACTGCAGCTGTTAAATTTAGTAACACAGTTGTAAAATGAATCTGGTTTCCCCATTGACTTTGCTTGTCAGAAGGTCGCAAAAGGGGATCACATGATCCCTGAACACTACAACCATCATACATGTGAATCAGCTGTCAAGCATCCAAATGTAAATCACATGACCATGGGGATGCTACAACGGCCATAAATGGTCATAAGTCACTTGTTTCAGTGCTGTTGTAACTTTGAATGGTCACTAAATGAACTATTGTAAGTCAAGGACTACCTGTATGTCCCTGCCACTTTCTCCTTTGCTCACCAGCTTCCAGTGTATTGAACAAACACTGCAGAATTTCAAAGGAAGTTTGAGTTCTGATATTTTTAAGGTTAATACTTTAGTATAGATTGTACATGAGGCATGATATGACAGGAATCATAATGGATAAAACAAGATATGAGAAAGGCAGATCTAGTCATATTAAGTCCTTTAGAATGTAAATATGTTCTCTCCAAATGTTAATTGTAGTTACTATTGAAAATGTTCATTCCTTAGGATTTGGAAGATGAATGGAATGCAAAGGCACCTGATCTGAAGCAAATGAATAGCAGAGGAAATGCTTTGTGTAACCTAATTATTGCTGTGACTTCCACTGCAAAGTCATGGGGTGTAAAGTCAGGTATGATGGCTGGATAAGCATAATTCTAAATGTTTGATACATTTGAAATGATGTATAAAATGATTAATAAACCACACCATTCTAAGAAATACTCCCCAAATCATTGCTATATTTATTGGGGGGTGGGAATGAACAGTCATTGTGGTAATCCTGAAGGTGATGAGTCTGATTCTTACTTAATATTTAATAATGCTAATGTACAGAATGGATTAAGAAAATGATTTAACATACCACTGATTCATTTTCATGTCCATATTCTTTATTGCATCATGTAGCCTATATTTGGTATATACTTTATAGTATATTTATACTGCAATACATACTTTATACTATAATTCTGACTACTTTGTTCCAAAAGAGCGTCTGTATTGACTTTTCTTAGGTTCATTTTGCATTCCATCTGTTGGGAGGGTTCTCTGCTTTCTGACACTTTTCCATTCAAGACCCTCACTTTTTCTTTTGGCAATCATCTTACTTTTATTCTTATTTCTCTTATATCTGTCCTTTCCATCCATGTCATTTTTTTTTCCATGGCCCTTCCAAATAATGACTTATCCCATGTCAAGAACTGACCATTGCACGTGTATCTTTTACCAGAAACAATCATATCGATCATGTTTTTCAACGTATTCTTTCTCCATAGGTGTGTATGAATAGACATGTTTAAACCATGTATTTAAAGCAACGGGAACTTTTTTCTAAACAGATACTCATCAGAAATAACATTCTCAGCATTTGGGTATCCGGATGGGTCAATAACTTACTCTCTTTTTTATTTCTTTCTATCCATTCATACCACCTGATAGAATCCCCCCCCCCCCGGTCACATTCAAAATATGGCCCAATTTTTCCCCAAACAAACTCTTAATTCTTTCACTGTTACCATTTATTGGGGTGTAACATGGTGCTGACTGAAGCAAATTATCAGTAGACAGTTTGAAGGGTTGGCAGATTATGACCTCCATCAGCTTGCTATTCATTGCTACTCTTAGATATTCATGGGTATCATCCCAATTGCTTGCTTACCATTATATGGTTTCAAGCAAGATAAGATACAATTTCTATCACACACTCTTTCTTATAAGCATTTGAACTTTCTTTCCTAATTGAATAGCAAAATGTCCTTTTTCTGATTCCACTGGGGCCATTCTGCCCTGTTAACGCCCCATTGATTTATTTCGCCTTGCTGCTTCTATGGAGTTTGTTTTGTTCCAAATTTCATTTTAGCTCCTGTAGTAAACAGCAGATCAGAAGCATTATATTCATGGAAGGAAGCAGGGGAGGCAAATTGTGAATATTGTATTGGGATATTTCAGTGAAAAGTTTGCCCTTTCATAATTTGTGTTGTAAGGATCACATGCAAGCAAGTAAGCGTTGGAAACAATATTGTGGTACCCATAGCTCAGCAAACTTGGCTTGTTGTAGGTACCTGTGCTGGCGACTGAAAACCTAGAGTTCTCTTCCACAAGAGGTGAGATAGGATAGAAGGATGTTGTTTAAAAGCAAAAAGCCTACTCAGAGGTTTATCTTCACAATATCTTCATTCATGATTATTGTGGAAAACATGTTTTTCTTGTTACTGGAGATTATGACACAGTTTATCCACCAACTCAACAACAAGAGGCCTGCTTCATCGTGTGATGCTCTCACAGGGTCTTTAGGCCTGAGTGCTCAAAAGAGAGACTAGGGTGCAGTTCTCAGAAATGACAATCTCACATAGTTGGGCTAATGCATCTACTGTGTAGTGATCAGAACAGCTAAGATAGCTTAAAATACACTGTATTGATGCTAGCATTAGGTAGATTGGCTGCTATCTTAGGTATCTGATTTTGCTGATATTGAATGTAGTATATCTTAATTACTTCATGTACTATTCTGTAAGAATAAGATTTTTCTGCCTCATTGCCAGAATATATTGATTGATCTTGAGTACCACAGATCTTGACTGAGTAAGGAAAAAATTAGCAGTCTAGTTATCAGCTTATAAAATTTATAAGACCTCCTGACTCCATCATGACTCTGAGCGCTAAACAGTTTGGAATAATGCAAAACACAAAAGAGGAGGGATGAACTTTTAGCAAGAGTAAAATAAGCTCATGGCTTTAACATAAAACATTCCCACAAACATCCCACCATCGATCTTCGTCCAAGGCCTAATGGAGAACACTAGGTTTAAAGATGCCATTCAAACAAGGTTAGAATAGAGAGACCACAGGGATCTGCTGATTCATATTAACAGGTAAAAGAAATGCTATTTTAATAGCAAAAATCTGCTTAGAGGGCTACTCACTCTGTATTGGATTTACTTTGAAAAGTGGAACCTCAGTGGCTGATATGTTAGTGAGAATTCTGCCACAGGGTGAAATATAGGAAGGTCTTACAGTATTATGAGAGTATCTCACTTATTTAATTGACTTATTTTGTCTCCTTATGTTCCAGCTGCTATTAGACTAATGCTCACTTCCCAGCTGCTAGTGAGAAGTGGATAACCTGGCCTTTTCCAAGGCTCCAATTAATTCTGCTCCATTAAATAATCATTTTTTGCAGTCTTGCTTATTAAAAAAAGCAATAGATACTAATAAGAGCTCTTATTTCTGTCATAAATAATAGATATTTTGATGCATCGTCAAGTTGGCTTTGGCCCAGCTAAAAGTCAGCATTTCTGAAACCAATTTTGTGATTAAGAAATTTACTAATCACAGAATAAAGTGATGATTATGCTAAAATTAAAGTTTGGGTGGCCTCTTATGTCACATGTTGTTTGCCATAAAATGATCTCAAACAATATTTAGGATCCCTTTGCACAGTTATAGAGTTATGCTTGTTACGTCATGATTGCAATTTTTCAACTTAGTGCTTCTCATTGTTTCAGAAATTAGAGCAGATGGCCCAGAAAAAACAAGTGCGGGGTCAACTTTTTATTTATTTGCTGAATTGTAGTACTGTGTTCCGAAAAAGCAAAGAAGCGTTTGCTATCCGCTTTCAGGAAGCAAATATTAGATGCAAACAGGACTTGCATTTTTGCATAATATGCACAGGATGGTTTCTCGCACAAGTTTTGGACATGAATTTTTGTATTTCTGTTATGCTGATGGAGGACTGATTTTATAATGAATAATTATATTCTGTTGATGTAAAGATATCCCTTTAACTAAGATGCTGTTTAGATTAGTATGGTTCTACTGGTATCAGTAAGATATAGATAGGTGACTCAAAGCTCTTTTCAGGCACTAAATTTAAGCAAGTTATTGCACAAGTCTCACTTCAATATTTGTACAGTGGGAATAATAATCTGCCTACTCCTAGAAGATTTAAATAAAATAAAAATATAGTTAAACATCAGGGACATAAAAATCTATTTTATAAATACTGGACTGTTTTTATAAATCTTTAGATTCTAAATGTGAAGAACAGGACAGGGTGGTGGTTTGTTTTTTGTTGTTGTTAATGGAAGAGTTCCCTCTATATAATATAGTAACAGTGAGAGAGCAGAATAACTTGTCTCCCTACCACTGGAAACCAGCCTACTGATTAAGATTGCCTGGGCTGGCTTCTGCTGTGTCTGCTAGTAAGTATCTTTTTAGTGATAGCCACAGGAAGGGCGGCATGATTTGGGAACACTATTTAGATCAGGGGTATCAAACTTGCAGTGACATGTTGTCATCATGTAATTTATCACAACTTTGTTTCCCCTTCACTAAACGGGGAGGGGGGGTGGACATGGCCAGTGTATGATGCATCCAGCCTGTGGGGCTGCAAGGTTGATGCCCCTGATATAGATGAAACAGAAGATTCTACATCAACGCAAGGAATCCCTTGGTAGGACAATTCCTTGCTTAGAGTGAAATTCTTAAAACAGGAGAGGCCGCCCTCCAACGTTTGAGTAGTTTGTTCAAATAATCACATGCATCCTTCCCAAGACAAGTTTTACAGCTGCAAGATAAACCACACATAGCATTGGAATCAGTTATAATGTCATCTATTGTAAAAGTTAAAGATTATCTAAGGAGGGCAAGAGAGGGAAATCAAAGGGGTTTCCCCCCCGCTGATTTCTGACCGTTGTTCCTAATGGGAAAAATGGGATAGAGGAAAATGGAGGGTTCTGTTCTACTGGTAATGTATTTCCAATCAAATAAGCATTACCTTTAAATTAAGATAATTTGTTTAAAAAATGAATATGATTTATGTTTCCATGTTAAATCTAGTCTATTCCTTATATCTGATGAAAAAGAATTTTAGAATTACTTAAATACTTATAAACTCTGACTCTTGGGTTTTCATTTTTTTAGATGTACCTGGGGCAATACCGAATGGAGGTGGAACAGCTACTCATCATAATCAGAGTTTTATGACAAACAAAGGTAAGTACCACTTAATTATATTTCAGCTAGATTTATACTAGAATGTTATCATAGTCTTAACTTGCACCCTTAATGGATTTCCTGAAATCCCGTAATTTCCTTAGTGGTTATCATTATTTAAGAATCAGAGCAAGATCCAGAATTCCAAATTTGTCTCATCCATTAATACTAAAAAGTTATGTTGGTCCATGAAAACAAAATCCGTATATATAGGTAATGCCTCTGTTAGGATTAAGCAAAATAACTCAAAAGAATGTGCAACTTTGCATATGTAATGGTACTATGGGGAGTCAAACAAAAGACATGAAGTTTTCTTCACAGAATTTGGGTTAACTGAGGGTGGTGGTGGTCCAGGAAAGCTCTTTGATGCTCCTGGGTTTGAAGAAATAAAGATGATCCAATCCACTTTGGGCACTCTCACAATCTTCCTTGGCTAAATCAAACTGAAATATGCTAGGAAAGTAATAATGGTATAAATATATCAAATGGTATAAATATCAATAGAATAGAATAGAATAGAATAGAATAGAATAGAATAGAATAGAATAGAATAGAATAGAATAGAATA